TCTCCTTAAAGCAGAGAACCAATTGCCTCATTTGGGGAGGGGTGTTTTAGGCGGGGAACTCAGGCTATGACCAAATTCCTCGCAGTTTATATCATGGTCAATAACCTGCCTTAGGTACATGTAGCAGCCTAGCCACTAGTAGATTAATATGCAGAATGATATCCTGAACATCTAGACATTAAATATGCCATATTTTACTATTTCAGCTAGAACTATTTGGCTTCCTGCTCTCCTGTAGACTTTAACTAGGGGTGTAAGATATCAGGCGACTCGCATTAAACTGAGCTATCCGAATATATGCTTTGTTCGATTGTTTATATTCCCTATTTTAAGGTATGAAAAGTGGTAGCTACTGAGGAAGCCCTGAGAGGGGGAGCAACGAGTCTAGGAAGGAGGAGCTTGCATCGTGTCTAGGAAGGAGGGCCTCCTCAGTAGCTACTGAGGAAGCCCTGAGAGGGGGAAGTCTATCATCCATTAAAAACCATTAACATATTATCCAGACCTGCTGTTTGAATGAATTCCAAGATGGTATAAATGGTTTCATCACGTTAACGCTTAAAAGAAAACCATATTCCCAGCTATAAATTTCTATCCTGCTCCTTCCAATTTTCTTGTCACTGCAGTTATAAATGAATATCGATTTAACCCCACTAACCAGAAGAAAATCAAACGAGCATTTAGAGAACAAACGTTTTCTAACAGAATTTTACTGGTATACAGTATGGCCAGCTTGTATGGTCACAATATTTCACTGATATTTCGATTGTCAATATTGTCTCTATAGTTTACAGCTAATGGTGTGAAATTCAACAAACACGCAGTGAGTGACAGTTCAAGTGAACTCAAGTTGATATATAACCACTCTTAAAACCATCCAAAACGTTAAAAGAAAATGAAAAATGAATCTGGTCCCCGTGAAAGTATCTTAAAGGATCCTATACACGTACAGTACAGGCTCTGTGACTGATACTTCTGGCAGCCAACAGGCAGCGTCAGCAGGAAGCAATGGCACTTCTGCCTGGACCCCCACACTACAGACCACCTTAGACCTGCCCTATCATTTGACTGTGGTTTGGGGTAAGGTATTGAGAACTGAGGCTTTTAGTTAGAAATAAAAACTAAAAGCTAGTGATTAGTAAGTGGTAGGTGGAGTGAGAAGGTGAATTTTTTTTTTTGGATATGATATTGAACAGTAAGCAGAAAAACATCTCTGAATATACATGTCAAACCTTGGAAAGTGTTCAGCTACAGAAAGTTCACTGGGCTCTATTTTCATCTAAAGCCTAGTACACACAATCAGAAAATTGTATGAAAAATACTGCTTTCGACACAATGGTACAATAATCTGATCATTACTACACAGCTTTCATCCAAAATTATTCAAAGTGACAAGCACGAAAATGTTCATTTAACCATTACAGTTTTTTTCCAGAACTACAATACAATACATTACATCACTTCCGAATTTTTATTCTATTGTACACACATTTTCATGACTTTAGAGACCTGTTATTTTTCGGGAAGAAAAAAAAATCTGGCAATCATTTATCCAATATTCTCATTGTGTGTACAGGGCTTAAAGCAGAGTTCCACCTAAAAGGGGAAGTTCCGCTTTAAAGATTGGTCCCCCGCTCTCCATTAAAGATTGGCAATTTTGGAGAGCAGGGGGGGGGGGGGGGATTTGACAGATACCAGCTCACACTTCCACTGTGATTGCCTAGGCAAAACGGAAGTTGTCCTCCTACCCTCCCTCCTTGAAGTCTTGTGGGACACGTGACAGGTCCCAGAAGATGACGGGGCTATTCAGGAAGCGCAGCGCTGCTCACACATGCACAGTGGGCACCCGGCTGTGAAGCCACAAGCTGTCACAGCCGGGTGCCCACACTGAAGAAGCCGGCGCCTGGAATACAGGACGGCCGGTGAAACGGGCTGTGGCGCCGGCAACGCAGGATCGTAGGACAGGTATGTGGCTGTTTTTTAAAAGTCAGCAGCTACAGTTTTTGTAGCTGCTGACTTTTATTTGTTTACAGAGTGAGTGGAACTCCGCTTTAAGAACAGAAAAATGAATGCAATGGGCATGGAAACTCCAAAATTGGACAGCTGACATTTGAGAGAGTGTTGCTTGGTCTGATGAAGCACATACTGTACGGTGTGATATTGGTGACAACAAGCATGGTTTCATTTTAAGTTTTATTTTTGCATGGTGTGATGATCTGGGCATTGGATGTGCAGCAGCAGAAGGAAGACGAGGACCACCTGGTGGCTCAGGGTCCATTTTATCTTGACTCTGTCCTTGTAAGGCTGTGCCAGGAGCAGGAGGAGCACAGTGAGGAGAAGGAGTATGGTTGCAGTGCTAGGATTGAGGAGGAGGAAATTGGGTAGGCTTCCAAAGGTAGGTTCCAACCCCTACAAACCCTGGGAGTTGTGCATAGTTAGGGGGAAATAGCCAGTGGTGTATTCTCCATGAGTGCAATGTGTGTGGGAAACACAGGTCCCAGAGGAGTGGCCACTTTGCCCTCACACATTGCATAACATTGAGAGATACCAGTTCTCTGTCTTTGCTGCAGCTGGCATTACCACTCGCAATTGCAACAAAGATCCATCCAGCAATTGTGATGGGGAGATCAGGCACTGAGGTAGTAGCAGAGGGAGTGGATTGGAAGAAACATCCCTTCTTCTCCCTGTGAAATAAAAGCTGCCAAATAACCAGCAGGTGCTTCAATAGTGCTTGCTGGTTACACAGTAGAGATGCCCTGCAGCTGTGGGGTTCCTCTCCCATTTGGCTCATTTCCCAGAAGGGGTAATTGTTATGTGAGGCCCATTCGGCTCCATTCCTAGCAACATCAGGGATCACTTGACTGTAAATTGCTGAACCAGAGCATGCACAATAGACACAGTGGTACAGAATTTCACTACTACAGGTAAGCTTTGCATGGTAGGGCTGTACTGTGGGATAGAGATCACTTCTGACCCCTGAACTCTGCACCACTAACTCCTGACCCCTGAACTCGGCATCACTTACTCCTGACCTATGAACTCTGCCTCACTTACTACTGAACCCCTACACTCTGTGTCCTCTTAAGCCACAGCCAATATTTAGCGCAATGAAAACCACACTTGTTGCTCAGGCAGGAGGACCCAACTTCACAGGCCCACGGCTTTCAGAAAACACTAATTCATTTCCACATTATATTTCAATTACTTCTAGCCTACTCCTATTACTCTGAACAATCTTGAAGTTATAACTTGAATTCTGTGATACGTATTCACAATGCTCTGTGAGTAGGCACTAGTGGCATAGTGTGAAGAGGGGCGCAGTCTGCCGGGCCGCAAGTCCAAGGTGCAACAGCTGCAGCCCTCCAAGAGTTAAATCCCACTCCTACTGGGAGGACAGATCGCCAGGCCACCACTGGTTGGAAGTTTGAAGTTCTCCTGCTTTGCAGTCCCTTGTATCACAGAGCCTACAGGGAGTGCACAGCGAGGCTGCCAGAGGGCTTCCCTGGATCTCATTGTGTGTCATCGCCTGATCCTGACACCCCTCCTCCCCCACTGGGCACAGGGAGACCACATGAGGGCACCCTGAGGAGTCTTTGTGGATGGAGAGCCCTGGAATATGGTTTAGGAGCAGAGCCTGAACTGCTGTCCGGACACTGTTCACCATTCACTAGGGACTGGGCTGGAGGTATGATTGCCAGGCTCAGCTCTGAAATATATCAAGCACAAAATAAAAAAGTAGAATCTGGGCAAAGGGATGTCCCCATGTTTTGGGCAACACTGCTCTAAGGGATATTCCAGGGTTCAGGGAGGGAAAATTGCACTGGGGGGCCATATGACCTGGAGGGATGGGGGGCAGATATGATTTGTGCTAGGGGTGGAAGAGTGATGGGGAGGGAAGGAATTGATAAGAGGATTGTGTTGGGGGGTTATTTGAGAGGGGACAGGATTTGTGCTCGAAGGGGGAATGATTTGTGCTAGAAGGATGGAGTTTGGAGGGGGAGGATTTGCACTAGAAGTGGGGAGAGGATTTGGATTTGTGCTGGAAGGAGGGAATTTGTATTAGATGGGGATTATTTGTGTTGGGAGGGTGGATTGGGGAGAAGGGGGTCGCAGAAATTTGTGCTAGAAGGGGAAGAGATTTGTAAGGAAGCTGTAAGGTAAGAAGGTTTTATATACAGTATATATATATATATATATATATATATATATATATATATAAACACGGTAGCTCCCCTCACATTTTTGTAAATATTTTATTCTATCTTTTCATGTGACAACACTAAAAAAAATTTCACTTTGCTACAATGTAAAGTAGTGAGTGTACAGGTTGTATAACAGTGTAAATTTGCTGTCCCCTCAAAATAACTCAACACACAGCCATTAATGTCTAAACCACTGGCAACAAAAGTGAGTATACCCCTAAGGGAAAATGTCCAAATTGGGCCCAAAGTGTCAATATTTTGTGTAGCCACCATTATTTTCCAGCACTGCCTTAATCCTCTTGGGCATGGAATTCACCAGAGCTTCACAGGTAGCCATTGGAGTCCTCTTCCATGACGACATCACGGAGGTGGTGGATGTTAGAGACCTTGCGCTCCTCCTCCTTCCGTTTGAGGATGCCCCACAGATGCTCAATAGGGTTTAGGTCTGGAGACATGCTTGGCCAGTCCATCACCTTTACCCTCAGCTTCTTTAGCAAGGCAGCAGTCATCTTGGAGGTGTGTTTGGTGTCGTTATCATGTTGGAATACTGCACTGTGGCCCAGTCTCCGAAGGGAGGGGATCATGCTCTGCTTCAGTATGTCACAGTACATGTTAGCATTCATGGTTCCCTCGAACTGTAGGCTCTCCAGTGCCGGCAGCACTCATGCAGTCCCAGACCATGACACTCCCCCACCACCATGCTTGACTGTAGGCAAGACACACTTGTCTTTGTACTCCTCACCTGGTTGCCGCCACACACGCTTGACACCATCTGAACCAAATAAGTTGATCTTGGTCTCAGTTCCAGTAATCCATGTCCTTAGTTTGCTTGTCTTTGGCAAACTGTTTGCAGACTTTCTCGTGCATCATCTTTAGAAGAGACTTCCTTCTGGGAGGACAGCCATGCAGACCAATTTGAGGCAGTGTGAGGCTTATGGTCTGAGCACTGACAGGCTGACCCCCCCCTCCCCTTCAACCTCTGCAGCAAAGCTGGCAGCACTCATACATCTATTTCCCAAAGACAACCTCTGGATATGACGCTGAACACGTGCACTCAACTTCTTTGGTCGACCATGGCGAGGCCTGTTCTGAGTGGAACCTGTCCTGTTAAACCACAGTATGTAGAGCACAAACTGAATGGGGAGATTTCACCACTGTGTTGGAGAGGGTGTGGAGAGGTAGGCACGCTGTATCATATATGGTGGGAGTGTCCAAGAATACAAGAGGTTTGGCAAAAAATAGTTTATTTAGTAAGGAAAATTACTGAAAATAATATTAGAATAGACCCTGAACTATGTCTTTTCCATATCACAGAGTTTCCAGTGAGATTATATAAGGATCTGGGTATCTGGCACTTTTTGAGTGCAGCGAAGAGCTTGATACCTAGGTTTTGGAAAAAAAAAAAAAAGGAGGTGCCAACAGAGGAGGACTGGATGATTAGAGTGAATCAGATCTGTGGGATGGAAAAATTGTATTATATGCATATGGATAAGATGGAGATATACTATATAAAGTGGAAAAAATTGGAGGAGTATAGAGAAAAAGTGAAATACATGAGGGACACCCTTTGAAATGGATTTTAGAAATAAATGTTTTGTGTAGTGGAGAAGAGGGAAAATGCAGAGTGGGGGGGGGGGGGGGTGAGGGGTGGGAATGGGGGGGGGGGGGGGGGGGAAGAGGGAGGGATGGGGAGTGGGATTTAGATAAATTATGTTAATAAGAAGATATCCCCCGGATGTCTTCTCTTTTTTATTAACTGAAAAAGGTGAATGTGATTTGTATTTATTTGGTTGAAAAATTAATAAACATTTATAAAAAAAAAAAACACATTATGGTCTTGGCCACTGTGCTGCAGCTTAGTTTCAGGGTCTTGGCAATCTTCTCATAGCCAAGGCCATCTTTATGTAGAGCAACAATTCTTTTTTTCAGATCCTCAGAGTTCTTTGCCATGAGGTGCCATGTTGAACTTCCAGTGACCAGTATGCGAGAGTGAGAGCAAAAAACACCAAATTTAACATACCTGCTCCCCATTCACACCTGAGACCTTGTAACACTAACGAGTCACGTGACACCAGGGAGCAAAAATGGCTAATTGGGCCCAATTTGGACATTTTCACTTAGGGGTGTACTTACTTTTGTTGCCAGCGGTTTCAACATTAATGGCTGTTTGTTGAGTTATTTTGAAGGGACAGCAAATTTACACTGTTATACAAGATGTACACTCACTACTTTACATTGTAGCAAAGTGTCATTTCTTCAGTGTTGTCACATGAAAAGATAGAATGAAATATTTACAAAAATGTGAGGGGTGTACTCACTTCTGTGAGGTACTGTACATACATACACGTACATACACACACAGTGCTCAGCATAAATGAGAACACTCCTTTTGCAAAGTAAGATTTTAATCAATATCTCAATGAACACAAGAACAATTTGGAAAATTTTGACAAAACTGATTTTTTTCAGAACATTTGTTTAGCTCATCACATGAAAGTAAGGTTAATAATATAACTTAGCTTCAGTTTTACTCAAATTAGTTGATGCAAAAATGAATACAGCCCACAAGAAAAAAACTACTATATCTTGCATTTTGCATGACCTCCATGATTTGTAAGGACAGCACCAAGTCTTCTACGCATGGATTGAATAAGTTGGTGACATATTGCAACATCTATCTTTTTCCATTTTTCAAGAAGGACCTCTTTTAGAGCCTGGATGCAGAGTGATGTTCATCTTGTCTCTTCACAATTCCCCATAGGTGTTCGATTGGGTTCAGATCAGGAGACATACTTGGCTACTGAATCAATTTCCCCCTGTTCTTCTTCAGAAATGCAACAGTGGCCTTAGATGTGCATTTTGGATCATTGTCATGTTGGAAAACTGCATGACGACCAAGGGCAGAGAGTCATGGTAGCATCTTCTTTTTAGCTCGTTATTTTAATGAATTGCAACAGGTTTCTTTGCCTTCTCCAGACGCGCTTAAAGCTCATATCACAATGATTCCTAAGACAACGGAAGACACCTAGGAACCGCGAGCCTTTTGGCCCATTTCTCTTCTTAATGAGGATCTGAAGATACTGGGTAAAATTCTCAGTCTTCGTATCAATAAATATTTGTGGAGTCTGGTCCACAGGGACCAAGTGGGATTCGTTTCTGGGAGACAGGCGGGTGATAATGTTCGTAAAGTTGTTCACCTTATACACCTTCTACAACAGTGCAAAATTCCAGGATTTCTATTGTCTTTAGATATATACAAAGCTTTTGATTCCCTATCCTGGGAGTTTTTTGCGGTTTGTGCTGTCCCGTTGGGGCTTTGGGGATTCTATCCTTTCTTGGATCCAGGCCTTGTATTCTTCCCCCTCGGCTTCGGTTAAGTGTGCAGAGTATTTCTCAGATCCCTTTCCCATTTAGCGAGGGATGAGACAGGGATGCCCCTTGTCTCTGGCGCGCTTTGTCCTGGCGCTTGAGCCGCTGGCTTTGGCACTTCGGGCGCATTGTAATATATCGGGTGTTCCTTACGCGGGACAGGAATTTAAGTTGAACCTTTTTCTGGACGATGCCCTCTTGACTCCCAGGCAAGCCATATTGTCCCCCTGTCTGTTGCACGCTTCCTCTGATGTCCCTCTCTGGGTCCTTTTGGAACTACCTAACTGTGCCTCCATTGCGACATCAACTCTTTAATGGCTCCCCCGGCCCAACGCCCGAGGACATTGAGTCCCATTTTGCTCCATGGCCTACGAGTGTGCGATTCAGTATGCTACTCTAGTGGCTTGATGTCGCCTTTTCTGCCCTTGCTTCCAATTATCAATAATCCTCTTTTTCCGTAGGGTTTAGATCAGCCAGGGGCGTTCTCTTGTGGGTGGCCAAGTTTATTGCAGGTGCGACACTCTTTAACCTCTCGATCCTTCCCCACCTGGAACTCTCTTCAGGAATCACGGGATAACCCTCAGGCACAATTTCTCTATTCCTTCAACTGGGACACTGGTTGACCTCACTGCGTGGCACTTTATGACTTTACTCTATTCTCTGCATCCTTGAATAGGTGCTCAATGCGTAATTCTCTATCATATGTTGTCTAGTGGGAGTGCGACTTCGGGATGGTTGTGAATCTGGAGGACTGGAATAAGGCCTGGTCATTTGTAGCTAAATGCGCATTTAATAAAGCCACGCTGGTGGCGGCAAAGTATTGTTTCGTTGGTATTGGGTCCTGGCTCGTATAACCCAGGTGAACCCTGCCTATAGTGATCGCTGCTTTTGGGGTTGTGGCCATATGTTGCATTTATGGTGGTCATGCCCGAGACTGATTCATTTTTGGTCTCGTGTCTTTGACCTTCTTTACACCTTGTTCCATCTCTCCATATGCCGAGACGCTCGGTGTGCTTTGTTTCATTTTCCCATACCGGGTCTGTTGGCTCATCAGCAAAAGCTGGCTTCCTATCTGTTTTTGTCAGCCACTAGAACAATTGCCCAGGCATAGAAGAGCCTGCCTGTCCCTCTTCAGGGGCTGCGGGACCATATGACCACTCTGATGCTCAATTAACAGATGTCGAGTATCCGTAGTGACTCCCAACGAAAATTTTTTTAATATAAGAGCCATGGTTGACATATACTTTTCCCACGCTCTCCCCGGATAGTCTGGGTTTATGACGCTATATGGTATTGGCATTCCCGGATCCCTGCTTCTGGTCTTGTTTTCTTCTTCCATCTTTACACTTTTTTCCTCTTTCTTTTCTGTTTGATTATGTGAGGCAATAGATATTTGCCTTTGGCTGGAAATTTTTGTTGGTGTTATATCACTGTGATGAAGGTATGCTACCTACAACTGCAGTGAATGTATAAACAAGTGATAAATACCGTTATTAAACAAATAACTGTGTAAAACCAAATAAGTTGAGCTGCCACTTTAAAAATAAATAAATCATAAAAAAACACTTTAACAAGTTTTCAAGTGGAGCATAGTCAATATTCCGTGCAAAAAAAAAAAAACAGTAACGTGTATAAAAGTGAATAAAAGTAATCCACAAAAAAAAATATATATATATGAAAATAATTGTGTATAGTCCAAAAAAAGTCCAAATAATATAAATTAGTCCATCCAAAAGAAGATCACCATGTGAAAGAATCTAGTGCAAGACAAGTGAAAAAATAAGTGTAAGAGTGAGTGTGTGTGTGTGTGTGTGTGTTTCCCCGCTCTCAGGTGTGCACTCACCAGCAAGTGTTGCCTTCCACTGTCATGGTTGGCAAACCAAGCTTAACAGACTATCTTCAAGAGATAAATCAAACCACTATGATATTTTAATCTCATTCTCTCTTGAAAAAAACAGAATCCCAAGATAGGTACTCTTGAACTCCAATATTCAAACTTAGGAAGTAAAGATCAAGGACTCTTTTCTCCTCCTAATACTCCACACTCAAAAGGCCATGTAAAAGAAAGAAACGAGAAAGCCCCAATGGTGCAGTACCAACTAAAAGTCTCTTTATTGCCACAATAGACTACCACTTACAAGATATAAATAAAAAGCCCAAAGATGTTAGCTTAAAGAAGCTTAGAGCGAAGAAAGCCGAGCCAGTACTCGTGTGTCATTTGTGATTGCTGCACAGCCACATCTTGACGCGTTTCGTCACATCTGACTTAATCATATGCTATTACAATGCTGGTGTTATGAAATGAAAATGTATGCTGTGGCCATAGATTTCCTTTAACCCGTTATTTGCAGACTCACCTTTTCTGTGCCAGATCCCCATATGCAAAAAAATACTGGCACTAAGGTCCTGACACTGGTTCTCCTGCTTCCTTTAAAAAAAATAAAAAATTGCTATGTCTAAGTGCATATATATATAAAATAGTTATATATTATACTACACACACAATTATCAGCATATGTTTTCAAGAGCAACTGGGGTCTAGGTAAAAGAAAATCATAAGAAAAACCCCAAACATAGAGGTTATCTGGAGTCAGTTTGAAATTCAGTTTTCTGCAACAGAGCCAGCAGGATTTCTGGAGATTAAAGTCAACAGAGAATCTCTATAAAAGGAGAAGACATAGCAGTACATTTCTCAAGAACGAATGTATGGAATTGAAACAGAACATAATATGTGACAGAATAAAGCCAGCAGTTTGTAAGACATTGACGCAGCTTTACTTGCGACCTTGCCATGACTATGCATTCATGAAATGATCAAATCATTGAGTGTTGCTTGCCCAAATGCTGTCCTGCTATTCAGTCTTTGCAATGCCATTGACACAAATTCAAATATGCCGTTTTATCTGTAGCTCAGTGTCACGTTTCGTGCACTGGTGCAGAAAGTCAAGACTATAGCAAGCATTTTAGAAAGTGAGGTTGTGACTTATAATAAATGGAGCTGTGTGTTTTAAGATTGCGGTCATGCTGCAAGGTGAACCTTCTGAGCGCTGCAGAGCAGGTTTTCATTGAGGATATCTCTGTACTTTGCTCCATTCAGCTTTCCCTCAACCATGACAGTTCTCCCAGTCCCTGCTGATGAAAAACACCTCCACAGCATTATACTGCCACCACCATGCTTCACTGTTGGGATGTTATTGGGCAGGTAATGCACAATGCCTGGTTTCCTCCAGACATAATGTTTAGAATTGAGGCCAAACAGTTCAATCTTGGTTTCATCAGACTTGAGAAACTTGTTCCTCAGTCTGAAAGTTCTTCAGGTGCTTTTTTGCAAACTCGAAGATGACTTCCATGTCTTTTCCACTGAAGAGAGGCTTCCGTCTAGCCACTCTACCATAAAGCCCAGATCACTGGAAGGCTGCAGTGATGGTTGTCCTTCTGGAACTTTGTCCCATCTCTACAAAGGATCTCGGGAGCTGAGTGACCATCGGGTTCTTGGTCACCTCTCTTACTAAGGCCTTTATCTCCCAATTGCTCAGTTTGGCCGGGTGACCAGCTCTTGGAAGAGTCCTGATTGTACCAAACTTCTTTCATTTGAGAATTATAGGTCACATTTTTTTTGTAACCTTCCCCAGATCTGTGCCTTGCAATAATCCTGTCTCTGAGGTCTGCATGCAGTTCCTTTGACCTTGTGGCTTTAGCTCTGATACAGTATGCATTGTCAGCTGAGAGGACCTTTATAGAG